ACGATTGACCAGTACACCCCAGACGATCTCCTCCATGTAACCCTAGGACTACCCACTCATCGCTCCCCATTTGGATTCCACTTGAGCATTGAGCACGATGGCACTCGACGGCCTCCTCGACGTATGCCCGGCGCGATCCATCTCCATCTTCTCCTACATATTTGTTGAGCAGTCAGCTCTCGCCTGTTACTTTGCTCCCGGCCAACCAGAGTTTCTTGTAGCCAATTCTTACTGGTCGGCCGGCTGGCCATTCGATCTTTAGTATGGAGCCAGTCAGCGAAGGTGGCAGCTGTCAATAAAAGTCTGCATGAATTGTAGTTTAAATTGAATTCCCAGTAAGGTATCTGAATCACAAGTGTACAACACATTCAAATAAATACGATCTAAGTGCTGTCCTTCATAACGGCCTGTTATTTTGTTTCTTTTTTCCGTAATTCTTTTCAGTGCAACTTGTTTTCATCTGATAAGTTTACAGCATTTCATCTCATCTCTTCTCTTCTGAATCTTATTGTCTTCATATTATTATCACTATGACTGTTATTGTCATTATTATTATTAATTTTAATTACTCGAATATAAAGTTAGTAAATCATGATGCCTTAACACCCGCAGTTCTAAGTTAAGCACAATATAATACAATACAATAGAATACTTAAATACATAAATGATGATAAGCAGATAATGTCAACTACTTTTTTTTAAGGACAAATAATAATAATGATAATATATTTGTACGACAATAATATTCATTTGAAGCTGTAAAGGTTTTAGCTTTGTGAAACAATTAACACTAAGAATACAGCAGAAGAAGCAGAAACAAAACAAAAAAAATAGGGTAACAGCAAAGTTGAAAACAATACCTCATTCATCAGGTTGAGCTTCTTTTGGTCTTCCTAATTATTTATTAGCCTTTCTGACATATATATATATCAGAATAAAAGTTACACAATAATACAAATTAGTGTTAATTATTGGTGCCTTCTGAAAACAGATAAACAAACCAAACATTCTATTCCCAGATTATTACAATAGATTAACTCTCAGGATATCTTGATAATGAGATAATAATCTTCTAGCTGTTATCCCGTGTGACTTATACACTAAGCAGAAATAAATTTATCATCAACCAAATCTAAATTTGTTTCAGATATGATCGCGGATTGATATCAGTTAGAGAACCATACATTGAAGACCGGTAGGGAGTAGTGGACAGCTGTTTCACAGGCAGTAGGCAACCACCGACTGAGGGTAGAATCCAGAACCTTTTGTAGACCATTCAGCCACTGGCATCAGATCAAGTGACCGGTGAATTAAAGATGACGAGCTCACCTTGTAGTTCCAATTACTAGGATGAAACAGCTGTTCAGTACTCCCTGATGGTTTCCAACTATTTTCTCACTGATATCAACTTGTATTCAAATTGGGAACTAGTCAAATCGGTGTCAACTAGTCCTTCAAAATCAAATCCAAATTATTAGATAAGTGGTAAAATGAGTTTAAATTATTATAGTCAAAGCCCAATATATAGTAGAGAATGGTATGTAGTCATGTCAGCATTTGCGGCGGTAGCATGTAAGTTCAGTTAAACTTCATTAATGTATGGATCAGGAAATGTAAGGGCTAAAAATCATAAATTATTTTGGTATAAGTAGACGAGGTAATAGGATTATAAAATTCTTTTTATTCATACTCCTTAGAGTTAACTGACAAAAATAAAACTGAAATAGGTCGTACGACAGAGGATGAAAGTAACAAATGTACTATCCCACCTCTCTACCATAACTTCTTATAATACACTGTAAGCACGCAGGACTGATTAAACTTTTATCCTTATTCCTGTATACATGGATTGCTCAGTGTCATCTCTTATAACAGAAATTTAATCGTGAATTGTCTTTATATTGAAAACACTTAAAAACAAGCCAAGCTTTTTCAGAAGATAGTCAATTCCTGTGTTAGCCAGTTCCTTACATAACGAAACAGTACTGTCTTTTGAATAACTTTCAAACCTAATTTTGACCACCATCATAACAAGGTATTAAGTAAAAAACATGCTAAACACCAAAGCCACTTCGTCTACCTGTTACTCCTTATCGAGACTCGGTGTGACTTAGTTTGAACCATGATAGGATAGCAGAACAGTCTAAAGATGTAAGCACTTAAGGTACCAGATAATAACAGTTCTGAGCATGCAGTGATAGCACCAAACAAAGAACTAAACGCATGACACTAGTTAGTGTCCAATAAAAGTATCTAATATAATCCCACAGGAAGTGAATGGTGACAATTCTAGTTACCAGATTGTTAATCTTATGAAAGTTGATTTCCAAAGGAACCACTAAAAAAGCTTACGATTTGCATTTTCCAAAATCTGTTGGGTCATATTAATACGGGCGGGAATTTCTGAAGATATTAACAACAAAAGAAATCAACCTTTTTTCTCGTCTCCACCACTGTTGCGTTCTAACTTTTTATACAGGGCTAGAAACAATAAATCTGAAAAGGCTTCTCAATCCACAGGTGCAACATAAGGGTATTCGGCATAAAATTTCACCTTTTATGCCTCGAATAGCACACAAATTAGTGGATTAGCCATATCGAAAGATGTTATGTATAACCTGCATGTTTTAATATAATAATTCATAATTTAATTCCAGTTATATTAGTATCAGTAAGTAGGCAATACAGACAAAAATAACTATGAAGACAGTATTAAAGGGATAAGTAAAGTTACACATGAGTTATGAAATGTGTCAAGCAATAATCTTCTCTATCAGAATAACATAAAAAAATTAAAGTCCAGATATTTTTTTAAAGTTAATTTCTAGATTTATGTTAACCTCAAAAAGTAGGCAGTTGCTGACATCATGAGGAACCAGTGAATTGCCTATGTGCAATTTCGTTTACACTTTCAATGTTTTCTACGTGAAATATTAGAAAATTTTCAAAGATATTTTATGTCATAGGGTGATATGAATAATTCAACGCTGGAATCCGATAGAGTTTGGATGTTATCATTCATATTGCAGTCATCATTGATGATGTACATACTAAATGTGGTCTGTAAAACTAAGTCCAATCAATGCAAGTAGTTTTAAGATTTAGAGCATTTTTTTAATAGTGACAATTCTCCAATTTCTGAAAAAAATGAATAAATTTCTAATCCTACTGTTCAACAGATTACTACTGTTTTCTTTTCAATTTTCAATGAGTAAGAATTTATAATATTCCTAAATTTGATTGAAAAGTTAAAGGCATTTCATTGCTCAATCAAGTCTATGTAATTACAAGGATGGCAATCACCTATATAGAATTTAAGTGATAGAAAACCAGAATAATTTCTGTTTGTAGTTTAGAATGTAATGCCAAATTCAAGCAACTGTGAAAATTGAAAGCTGCTAGTCTTCCTATTTATTGACACCTTTTTCTATGCATTTAGAAGCTACTGATAATACTGTGAGAGCCAATCTCAAGACTAAGTTCAACACAAATTCTGGATGAACAATAAAGTTTTAACAAAATTGATTTCCAACATAAAAACATAAAAAATGGCTGTTGAGTTAAAACCCCAAGCTGGTCATATTTACAGTGTACTACCCAATAATTTTCTCTTTTTAAATGTGTTAGGAGAATGAACAAGCCACAGGTTTTGTCATGGAGTCCCTGATTTAGTCATTCTACGCTTGAACTGTAAAGATGGCGATTAATAAATAAAATTCAGGCTGACTTCAGCAGAAGTATACATTCATCAACTTCCCCCAATGTTTATTTGCTGAAACCACAGAAATAACTGCAGCTTTTTTTCACTTTACAAAAGCAAAGGATAAAGGTTTTGCACAGATCACCATTTGATTATAAAGTCACTTATTGACCGTAAAGTCGATGCAGAAATTTATGCAAAAGTGCATTAGTTTATGTCATCAAAATTTCCAAAGGGCATAAAAGCAAGAGAAAGATATAGCGATAATACAGTGAATAAGCGTCTAAGGAATAAATATTGAAGAATACTAATGCCTGCGTCGTCGTCATCAATTCCGGTCGACTAAACCAGTGACCTACTAACTGACGATACCGAAGAACTCAGCAAATTAGTATATGTCAACCTACATGACTCACACAGTCACTTTATTATTGGGTATTAAAATTTATTCTAACAGCTCCTAACTATTTTTGCTTTGATCCCGTTACATCTAGGACTACCCATAGAGAAAGACAGTAGCCCCTTAGATTATAGAACCGGTAAATTATCTCAGACTTGTCAATCAAATCATTTTTCCGATCCATTACTGCATGTTTCCATTTCGCTATTACTTTCCTTGTTAATTTATTCAACACGAATAATGGAATGCAATAAACCAGGTATCAAATATGTTTTTTAATGTATTTTCTTATTCCAGAAATCCTCACAAACACACACGAGGCGTAATGTAGAGCACTGCAAGTTATATCATCTATTAAAGAATTAAAAAATCTCAAATGTTTGACGAAAATTGCTTGGTTTTAACAAAATATTTTGCCACGACTTTGAACACTAAGACAGCAAGTAGGGGTACCATGCTGTGACATTTTTGATCATGATATTCCCGGGGCCATAAATCAAGTATAATTGTTAAAATGACACATATTATGGAACCTTCATATGTCAAGAAAGACATTTTGAAGTGTTCGTAGAGGAGAAGTCTAAAGGAACATGAATTACTGCGAACAGTGAAGAAATCAGTCAGGGATCTTATATCGGTTAAAAATGCTTTCAACTTTCATAATAATAGTTTATGATTCTTATTAGTAGGTAGAACCAGTAGAGATTCTTATGAGAACCTTTATAAAGACAGTAATGTCAACAATATCACAGCTGGCAGTCCAAATATGCAGGGTGGTTAAATAGAAATCTACAGAAAACCGTATTTTTAAAACGACAGATGGAGCCTGTTATTCTTAAAAAAAAGTCTTTCTTTTATGTTCACTATATTTAGTCTACAAAATATGTGATATTAACTTACATTAACTTCTATTGGTTTGAAGTTTGGGGCCACTTTGTTTTCCTCTTCACTTGTCCCTCTAAAATTAGACTTCTTTGGAGAACTGTCAACGGAGATATTATTAATATTCGGCTGTGAAGTGGAACTAAATGGCTTTTTAACACGCTTAGACTTAAAATAGCTTTTCTTCTTTATGTTCATATTTGATCTTGGAGAGCAGGTGATTAGCGAGTCACATAACATGTTACTTGTACTGTGTTTTAAAGTTTGGTTGATGAAACCATTTCTTGGGTCAACTTCAGGAATTGCCTCATGGCTGCTAGAATTTGAAGATGTAAATTCAGCATCTCTTTCTAAAGTTTGAATCCAGTTACACTCAGATTTCCGCGGAACATCACAGCCATCTGACTCGTTATTGCATGGATAATCATATGAGTTCTCTTTATTTGATTTATCTGAGTTTTGGGTTTTTGTTTCATTTTCCTGCATCATAGCAGAAAGACACGTGGTCACTGTTTTATATCTGTCGGAGTTCGTTAAATCCACCGGGGATTGTAGGATATTTTGTGTCTGACATACAGGTATATAGGTACCTGATGACTGGTTGGAATGATCAAACACAGTTCCAGTAGGTTGCTTATATTCAGATGAAAAATCTTGAGAATTTAATGCTGAGTTAGTCGACTGAAGAATATCAGTAAGAACAGCTGATAAATTCACAGTGGAATACGAACTTGGAGGGTATGATGATTGAGTAGATAAGCTGTTCATGCTGCTTGTCTGTCCACTCCAGACGGTGTTTCGTACTGGAGAATTAATACCAACACCATTAAAGTTCGAACCATGAAGTTGATCATATGAAAGACAATTTTGGATCATTCGAAAGTATAATTCCACAGACTGCTGCAAAGCATAAGCTCTGTCTATAAGGGATTTGTAACAAGCCGACATGGCTTCATAATTCGGAAATCCGGATTTTGGAACTGGTATATTGGTTATACATGTGCTAATTGAATTCATTATAGCTTGCCTCCAGTCCATATATGCACTGTATTTTGAAATAATGTTCTTATATAAACCATCAAAATCCTTAGGGTTATAGTAGGAATCGTCGTTATGTGAACCATTAATTTGACACTGTTCGTTAGGAGGGACACTCAAGGGGTTTGTATTTTGTTGTGTATGTGTAGCACAAAAGAGCTCTGAGAGACTATTTTGGAATGTACTGATAGGTGTTTTTTCGAAACTGTGGTTATTTTCGGTAGTTGGAGGGTATGTTGGAAGTGATCCAGATTTGTAGTCCAAAGGAGACCTGTACTTCATAAGAAAGTAGTTAAGCATTGCCGCATAAAGCCTTATATGTTCTGAAGACGTGTTAACAGCATCATCTCTGGATATACTGATAGAATTCTCTGTGGTATTCAATGGAGAATTGAATGAATTACTTTCCTTTGATACTAAATTTATAGGGCCGAAGGAAGGACTTTTCAATAGCCTTTTCACGTCTTCTTCACAAGCTTCCTCCGACATTTCGCGCTTCTGTGGGGCAGCAGTTTTTCTTTTTCGTTTGTTGGTTCCATAGTAATATTGTTCATCGGAAATATCATATTTACTGTCAGTATATGATTCATTGAAATCATTAATCTGATGCATGGCGCGTATCATAACACCTCTGGGCATAATAAAACCTCAGTTCATTCAAGGTTATAGTCAACACTAATACGGTTAACTTGAAATAAGTTGTGACAACAGTTTGAAATTGTGCATTATGTGCTACTGTGATATAGATACCATGTGATTCAGTCAAACAAACTTAACTTCGGATGTTGAACAAAAGGAATTTTTTAAATTTATCATCTGCTATGCACATATATTAATCTTAATCATTTATTAAACGCGTTATGAGTTTGCTGGTGAGTAGATCTTTCCATGGAATGCAAACTGGAGAGGGGAGACAAGCGATAGGTCACTAGTGAAGGGGTTTCAGAGTCATACACCGACTTCTATTGAATGAATCATTGAATTACTGAAGTTACAGTGCAGAAAATTTTAATTTCTACTGTAGTGTTTCTTAGCTGCAGCCCTTAAGTGATTGTTTTCCTTTTATTAAGTGTTAGGTGATATCTCCGTCATGCAACATTAATTAATCGAGGCGGCAAAGATTAATACACAGCTACCGTGTAATGCCCTCCATTAGAATTAAGTATCTTAAGATAACTGTCTTTTTCTCAATGACTGATGTCCAGATGTGCAGCTGAATGAGAAACTAACCAGAAACTTACATCAATAGGTAGGTCAGCATTGTCTAGTGGTGAAAAACATATACGGCACTGGTTTCGAATCTCAGATAAGGGCTAAATGTAAGAAACTCTTTCGGAGATGACTGGTTTTCTCGTATGTTCCGTTTGTATCCCCCGATTTAGCTTGTCAAAATGCGCATAAATTGTGCGTATCTGTTTGGTTCTTGTCTCAGTAATCTCAAATAATTCTCCGGGCAAGGGAATTACCATGTATTTTAGAAGCAAACATGATGTTATATGTTAGTAATGAAAGGCTTGTTACCACTGAGAACACATCCTAGGCTATGGTTGATAAGATTGGTGAAATAGTTTTCTGATGAACAACTGGATGTCCCTTAATTTGCCAAATCTGGGCAGCGGTTAATTAAGCTAGACCTGCACATCACCTTGCTTTCTGTAAGACGTACGAATTGTTTTTATTGATGACTCACCACATGATAGGATTAGGCTAGTTCGCTTACTCACGTGCAATACTGGCTCTATAGCTTGTGTTATACATTATCACAAGATTTTACCAACAGAGACAGACTATACCAGGACGAAGCACGTGTTATTTCATAGACCAGTGAAACTACCTAAGGTCCTTAATTGTGTATTCAACCTTGTAAATTACGGAGAGATGACTCTTGAGAAGTCATTGCATTCCCTGACATTTCAATAAGGTGTATTGAAATCCTGGTATCTATGAATTGCGCAGAAGAACTGAAATTTAGTGCTGTTATTGGGATAAGAGCAAGCATCCTATTATTCTACATCTTAAGCCTGTAATGGGACAAGTGGTAAACAAAGCGAAAACATCTGAAATAAAAGGCCCCAAAAATGCAATGGTGTACCAAGGTATGTGATTTATATCTGTCAGCATCAGCACTAAAGGTGTTTGGGTTAAAATATGGTAAACTGAAAAGATTACCCTTCTTCGACTGGACGAAGGACACTCAAGAACCATTTGTAAAACGAAGAATGTGAATGTACTAGCAAGCTACACGATTCAAATTCATTACTGCGAAACGTTAAGAATCATACTGTCTCTGCTAGCATCAATACCTCTTTTAGCACATGTAGTGCCCGAAGATTGTATTTATGAGTATTGTGTATTAGAGCGAAACGACCACAGTCCTCTGATAATTCTCACGCACTGCTAAGTAAAGGTGCACCTATTGACCCTTAACTGGCCAAACCGCTAAATATCATGCGGCTGAAGGATGCTATGTTACACAGTACAATATATCGTTCCACGGCATAACTGTGCGAACGAACATTTTCGGTTGTAAACATTGGCGTCACAAGTAAGCATACAGTCAGGAAGTACATTTAGTGTTTCCCAGTTTGAGGACAGCAGAGCTGTATTATCCTGCCATATGTTAGTCACCAGCAAAATTCGTTTGTGTTATATGCTGTTCCTTAAGCTTCAAAGAAATAAGACGAATTTGGAGGTTGTTCATAAATAAGTGAAAGCTGATAAGTGAGCATCACTATGGAGGAGATGAAAGTCCTTTTGCTGCAACACACTGCTTCACACCCTGTAGACAGTACTAATGTGGTGAGTGCTACTTATAATCCGATATAAGCAGTATATCAGAAACGAAGTAACAATATGTTTGGCACAATGGAAAGAGCAATAAAGAAGAGACATGAGAAGAATGTTGCCATACGATGAAAAAGAGTGTAGATGATGTGCAAATGGCCGGTTGAGAATATGGTATTCAAATTGTATGTACCATACGTTTCACCAAATAAACATTCTTTTCAGCCTCCTCAGTCTTGTCTTCTTTACACTAACACAAATGTAAAGACCAGAACTGAGGATACATACAACAGGATATTTTGTAAATGCGTTAGGCTAGGGAGGTCTCAGGATACTAAAGATAAGAAAGAAGGAAAATTGATCGAAGGTTCCTGTATGTACGAAAATGAGTATTCCATAACAGGCTCGCTCTCTAGGCTTGAAGTTTTCCAATTTATTTGCAGCTGACAAACTTCCATCAAATTTTCTGCGAGCCCAAGTAATAAATCCGTTGTATATCCAGATCAGTGGATTAAGTACGAGGAGGTTATTGACAAACAAATGATGAAAGAACATTTAGAAAGGAGAACCAGTTTTCAACCTATAAAAACACAGAAAACTTCGTATTGCCCTGAATAGTTATGTGAAACACAATGATCTGTCCTCAGAAAAAATATTTCACAGAAATCCTAGCGGTGTCTGATAATAATCTTTTACTAAGGTTCAGTGACTACACACAGCAGGGTTTAGAAATGCAGAATCGAATTTTCTCACTTTCGCGCATGAGCTTCGCTCTTTTGCAGCAGCTACGAATTACACAGGTTTGTGAGGTTGTTTGTGTTTTGGTTTGATGAATGCATCAGGCAGCTGCCTCTAAGTGCAGGATCGCCTGGCGTGTTACGATGAGTTCTTCTATGTCTTAGCTAAGAATTGCTTTCTATTGCTAAATAAGTTACATGTAGGGCAGAGGTCTAATTTACATAACACTGAAAAACAGTGCATCCACATTTAGGGGTATGTAGATCGATCAGCTACAAAGAGAAAATTGGGATTGTAGTGGAATACCGTCAATGATAATTACGACTCCAGTATGTGCGTGACGTTAGTAGGCCAATCAAAACTGAAGTTATATTGTGTATATTTCGGTCCTTTTTGATCTGCTTCTAGTAGTAACACCTTAAATACACTTCAAGGAAAACACTTCAAGGGGCATGCAAACACAGGCTTCAGTAGGATGACTCACTTTATGTAAGGCATTCTGCAAATAAAATATGAAAAAATAGCTGGCGGCCTGATATATCCATGCCAATTTTCCACTTCTCACCCGTATAAGAGGAAGTGGGGCCATTCAGTCTTAGACTTTATGTTTTCTGAGACGCTTCAGAATTTGGATACGGGACAGGTGTTTACATCAGAGAGACTATGGAAGGTGACAAACATGTCCAACTCTTTATAGGGAAGTCTAGAGCGACACTTCTTAGGACTGTTTAGGCTTCAATTTTGAAGTTTAACACCATCCTCATTTCGTCAGTGTATTTATAAATCATAGATCATGTAAACTTTTGATAGCTATATATTATGTTCGTAATGATTCAAAAGGATATACGGTTTTCGAAATTTCAAGTTTCAAGAACCATCAAGTGTTAATTAGCTAAGGTATGTGAAACCTAGTAAGGCCTTGCTAATGTAGCATCGAAAGGATTCATGCATTTGGATGTGCTTAGAGATGAATGGCGATGAGGTCTAGGATTCTCAAGATATATAGGCTAGATATGCCTTGATGAAGATAAATCATGTATGCTGATGACCGTCTATCTGATAATATGTGTGAAGAATCGTTAGGAGTAGTATATGGGAAGGCAGTTTTTTGATCACACACTGGAAGCATATGAAGAAATCACTATGGGAGATAGTCATAATTGTGGGCTATTAAAGGTATTGTAGCGGTAAATGATTTCCCAAAATTATTGACCACAGCAATCATCACTGAACACTGGATGCTGACACTCACTGTTTAAGTCGACTTGCTTAGCTGAAAGCTTCCGGTCAAGCATCCATGCCATTTGGTACTCCGTCGTGTCGCGTTCGTGCACGATCACTAGCCAGTTAAGCAATCATCTCGCAATACGTTTTGGTCCCGAAATATTTCTCGTAATTTGGACGATCAATTCTGTTGTTTTGCTTTGCCTTTGGTCCACGAGGAACGAATACTATAGAAGTTTTTGGTATTTTATCTTGCGTTAGTATACTCCGTACAATCCGCGAACGTCGATACCGTCAGCCTCTAAAGTATTAACTAATTTTGTATCGACATTTATTAGCGAATAGTAGTCAGCTGTGTACCATATTGATCAACCATGCCCTTAACAAATGAACTTGTTGTATTTGGTCTGCTTGTTCACCGGATACTAAATCTTCGAATTATTTACACGATCTTTGATGCTGATCGTCCTTAAGTTCCGGGTTGTTATCTTCTGGCAGTAACAGAAGCCCTTGGTTTAGTGTCTGGATAGTTTCTCAAACCAGTTCGTTGACGTAGAACCATGAGCGGTATATTCTGTCCCAACCTCTTCTATCATGTACCGCCTCATAAACAATTCACATTTGTGACCACTACCATATCTGCTGATCAGCATGCTCCACCCTCAACCATTTTTGATGTTAAGCTCTGAGATTTTTTGGCAATAACTGTGGCTGCAGCATTGCACTGCGCTGAGCCTGTCCCAATCATACTGTTCTGCTGAATCTTGCTCCACTATTCACAAAACCTATTCTTTTTACTCTTCAAGGTTTAAACATCTTATAAACTAATCTGTTCATTAGGACGCATGCACACGTGTATAATATGTTCATAAATCTGTACGTGGGGACCTATTGGAAGCACTCACTAAGAAAGCTAGGGAAATGGAATGTGAGGTACGAACGTGTCTGGCACCAAGCAATATATTTGCTGTAGCCATAACAATCA